TTTTTCCATTTCTCATCATTTTTCCTTTCCCTTCTTTCCTTTCCCCTGCCCCTCCCACTACCCCTACCCATTTGAATGATTAGAATGAATAATCAATAATGTAAAATAGGAAGAAAAGGTCCATTGTCCCCTTTCTTAAGGAAGGAAACTGGGATCTAGGCTTCCTGGTGTTAGCATCTGGATATTCTGTTCCTTTGTCTGGGCTGAGGAGAGGTGAGGGAAAGCTATTTATGCCCTAGGCCTCAGGAAGCCATTTGTCTCTAAAGGTTAAAAAAAAACAACTAACTTTTAAAGTTCCATTTTGCAGTGCTGGTTACAAGATTAGAAAAGGAATGGTCAGGCACCTACATGTCTAAATCACTAATTAGTTGAGCATTATGTTTTTCATAGATCTCACCTGTACCTCCAACATCTCAGGTTATTTCACGAGCATATTACAGCTTAGAAAGAAAATTTGATGTATTATTGAATTTGATGCTTTTAATATCTATGAATTGGCTAGGATAGGAATACATTTCCATTTTAGAGATGAGAAAACTAAATGTGGAATGGTGCAATGATTGTAAGGGAAACAAAACCACTCAAGAAGTCAGTACAAAGATAAGGTAGAGCTTTTATTTATTTTTTGCCCTAAATCCAGGGTATTATTGCTTGTAAATGGGTTTTCTTCTTTATCTTCGATAGGATTTTCTGCAGAATGGTGGGGTAGGATATATTAATAGGAGTTATAATAGATCTGATTGTTTTATTTGTCCTTCCAGCATAAAGGTGAATCATGCCTAGGAAGGTTAACAGGATTGAATCCAGAAGAAAGGAGGAAGAAAACCGTAATCCACAGATTGCACACATCTTCAATTACAAGCGCTATATCACCTTCCTTACTGGCTGCTACAGTTGCCATTGGAAATTCAGACGGTGGGAAAAAACTAAACTTGGATCCTGTTGCTGCACTCGGGTACAGAGAGACGGGAAGGAGCTGGATCACATTTCCCAGTTGTGGGGAGCATGGGCTGGCCCCTGGCCATCACAAAGGGCTTATTAGAGTTGTCCAGAACTGAGACTACTCAGGCTCCAATTCTTCCATGAAAATACTATGCCAATTCTGGAGCCAGAGTTAAACTTACTGAAACATGTACTAGCTGTACTCTTTTTCTTTCACTTTTACTACTATTAATATGTTATTTTATGGTGCTGATGATCAAATTCAGGGCCTCATGCATGCCAGCAAAACACTATGTTACTGACCTACATCCCCAATCCCTCACTTTTATTCTTTACTTTTCCATTTCCATACTATCTCTCTTATGTCATTCACTCACTTTTACATTTACTCATCAAGTGGACCTTAAAGAAAACGTGAGGTTTGAGCACGATTAGATATTTTTGGCTAGGGATTACAGGAATGCATGAATCTTTAATTATCTTTTTTCTGTGAGTTCCAAGTGAAAATTTGCTCATGAGAAAAAAACAGCAAGTGGGAAGCAAGTCACTCCTTTATTATTGCTCAAGCTAGTGCTTGATTTTTCCTGATGAGGAGCTCTTGTAAGGCCAAATGGTGGCATGTGTCCTACCTAGCCTTATGGAAGGCCTCTTTCTTTCTCTAAGCCATGTACTAGGATGCTCTGGTGGGCTCTCTGGTGTAAGATATCAACTGATGAGTACACTGGAGGGCCAAAATTTTGTACCTTTTCTAGCCCAACTAGGGTCCAAGAATCAACTAATTGGATCTCTAATTTCTTATCCCTAGCATAGGCAGCATAAGGAAAGAGATCAGAAGTGGGAAGTAATGTGATTTGTATCTCGATGTCTCCCCAAAGCCTCATGTGGTCATATGTAGGACTTTTCAGAGATGGCTAGATCTAAGGTGTGTGATGCTGGGATTAAGAATGTAATGCTGGGCTTGATTCATGGTGTAATGCTAGGACTATGGGTGCCCCACCCTGGATGTGAGTGTTACCTACCAGGTAGCCTGGATAGAACATAAGGGACAGAAAGAGGGCTGCTATTGTTGGTTGCTGCTTCCTTGCTACTTTGCTGCTTTGCTGCCTTCCTGCCTTCTACCTAGCATGAACTGTTTCTCCTCTGCAATGCCCCTCTGCCATACCGCCCTGCCTTGGAGCAAACCTCTACAAATTGTGAGCCAAAATAAACCTTTTCTTTTTTAACTTTGGGTGTTGGGTATTTTGTTTCAGCAACAAGAAAAGTAACAAAAGCAGAAGGCTTTTCTGGAGAAGACAGATATATCCTTCTTTCTCCTGTATCTCTCATGTCTAGGTATTTGGTGTCTACACTAGTCATAGGGGATAATAGAAGTGCTTCAGGCATGGTTCTTGCTCTCATGGAATTCATGTTCTACTGGGAGGGTCAAGTACACACACAATCTCAATGTAGTAAGAGAAGTGCTTTAATTGTATGTACATGCACATAGAGATATATCAAGGAAGGGACTAAAGATTATTAAGAAGGGGAAGGTAATAAAAATTTGATAGGTATATAATTGTAGATGGTAGAAGAAATAGTACTGGAGGAGGAGTCAAAGGGCATGGTGAGTTTGGAGAGTGGTAGGTTTATTTTAGATGAAGCAGAAATGCATGATGAAGTGATGGGAAATGAAGCTAGAGATGGAGATGAGTCAAATGTTACATGGTTTTAAGAACTGACTTCTTCCACACAGAAAATAAAGAATACCTAAAGAGGGTTGGGGATGTAACCCAGTGGTAGAGCATGAACTTAGCATGCATGAGGCCCTGGGTTTGATTGCCAACACCAGAGAAGTGGTACCTGAAGATTTTAACCTGGTGATGTGGGGTCTGAGGTATGTTTTGCAGTGATTATTTGATTGTGTGGAGGATGTATTAGAACATACAGAACAAATGCAGGAAGGCCCCTGCCTCTTTACCTTCAAAGATAAAACAATGGCAGTATTCCAAATAAGTGATGTTGGTGGCCTGAATTGGAGGAATGATTATAAATGTGGAAAAAAATAGATAGATTCAACAGATGTTTATTATTTAGGGGTAAGGTAGAAAATCACATGAAAGGTATAAAGAAGAACATAGAGGGAACAATAAAGGGAGGCTCCACAGGAAAAATAACATTTAAAATAGTATGATATAATGGAAAAATCCCTGAATCATGACCTGGGAGTATGTGTGGACCCTGATTATGACTGTGTGCTTGGGCTGGTTATGTGGTATCTTTGAGCCTCTCTCTATCATGGGGGAATTGAATTAGATAACTCTTAGGGTCCCTAGATAATTTTCAAGTCTCTTTTATGGTTAGGGGAAGGAGTATAGCATAAGCATAAGCACCAATAAGATATTGTGTCCTAGGGGAAGACTACACAGATTCAATTTATTGTTCACTACTGACTTTCTCCAAATTAGAAACCCACCACTGTGGGATCTTGGGCAAATTACTTAACATCTTCAGAGTCCTCATTAAAATAATTGAAATAATAGCAGTAGGATCAACTATGGTTGTTAAGAGAATAGAAAAAGTAATTTGTGGAAAAAATTTTGAATTGTGCTTGGCACACAATTAGTACTCAGTAAATGTTATTATAGTAGCTGTTCTTGGAGTCTCTGACTTGTGGAAGTGACTTATAGAAATGATAGCACAGGGGATTCTGGGTGAAGGGAATAAGATGGGAAAAAGTCCAGAGAAAGAGAAGCACAATGATATGTTTAGGGAGAAATGAATTTCCAGTGTTGACTTTAGGGATATGTAAGGAAATAAATAAGAAGTAGGTTTGGACAGGAATATTTTGGCCAAATTATAAAGCATATATATGCCAAAATAAAATATTTGAACTTTATCCTATAAACAGTTGGGAGCCTTTGGATATTTTCCATCCGGAGTGGTGAAAATGAGAGTAAGAAAATGGAAATGGATTTAACAAAAATGTATTAAACAATATATACTACTCTAACTGAGACAGCATTAGCCCCTGGACCTTGTGAAATGACTTAGGTAATAAACAATAAATGAAGAAAATGCTTTCAGATAGTAATAAGAGCTTTTAAGATAATATAGTAGGAAAATATGTTAGAAACTTGGATAGGAAGAGGACCTCTTTGGAAATGTGTCCTTTGATCTATCTCCTAAATGAAGAGATAGAGCCATCTTATGTATGTCTAGGGGCAAAAGTTTTCCAGGCAGAGGAACTAGTAAGTACAAAGCTCCTGAGGTGAGAACAGATTTGGTTATGTTTTAGAAACAGAAAGGTGGCCAGGGTGGGTGGAGTCCAGAAATAGAGTATAAAATAGGATGGAGGATAAGGTGGGAGGTGGGAAAGGGCTGATGGTGTAGGAGTGTGGGCTGTGGAGGCAGTTTGGGTGACATTTTAACACAATAGGAAGCTCTGGGAGGGTTTTGAGCAGGAGAGTGACATTATCTGATGTATGTTATTAAAATTCCACCAAATTTCATGTAAAGAATATGTATAAGACCTGAGTCATCTGTGCTCTTCACCCTCCTACACTCAGGATGGTAGTTTGCTGCCTGGATACGCATAAGGCCCCTTACAGCTTTTTAGAATGCCCTTTCTATGTTTTCTATTTTATTTTATTTTTATTCTTATGCCTCATAATAAACTCAGAATTTAGACAGACAGGGATTACTTTCTGTTTTCAACATACTCAAATGGTATCCAGGGCTGGGGATTTAGCTCAGTGGTTACGCTGCCTGCCTTGCAAGCACAAAGTTCCGAGTTCGATTCCTGGTACCAAAAAATAAAATAAAATAAATAAAATGGTGTCCTAAGAGGTAGAATTTTTTACTCATGTCATTGAATCTTTTAAGATTATGAATCAGATAGCAACCCAAATCTAATCTTCGCAAGAAGTTGGCAACATGTGGCAGGGCAGCTTTGTGATAATGATTTTCAGTGTTGGGGGTTGCCTTCAAGGCTCAGTTTGAATACCTTCTCCATAAAGAGGTCCTCCATGATGGCTTTGAGCTAAGACAAATCCTGGTTCCAGCCCTTCCCCTGCTGCTTTTTGGCTATATGATCTTGAGCCAAATACTTTATCTTTTAGAGTTTTCTTCTGCAAAATAAGATTAACAATACCTAATTCTTCTCTTCTAACGAGAAATAAATTAAGTGAAAGTAGCTTGTTAAGTCTAACATTGTATTGTCATTAAATAGCTACTTCAAAAAATGTTTTCCCCCTAACTCTGATTACTCCTTGTTCTCCCAAGTGGGTACATAAATGACCAAATGCAATGATAAATGCTGAATGAATTACTTAAGGAATGGATCACGAAAAACATTTGGTGGAGGGAAAGGTGGAGGAATTCAACAGATGATTGTTGAGTGCCACCTACATTCAAGAAACTATGGTAGAGCCAGACATGGTGGCTCATGCCTTGTGAGCCCAGCTACTCAGGAGTATTACAAGTTAGAGGCCAGCCTGGGCAATTTAGTGAGATCCTATCTCAATACTTTAACAAAGGGCTGGGGATATGTGTAGTTCAGTGATAGTGCTTGCCTAGCATGCCCTGGGGTCAAGCCACAGTGCTGCAAGTGGAAGAAAGAAAAAGCAAACAAAAGTGGTGTTAGGTATTGGCCATAGTGAGATGTTAGAAAAGTTTCTTTTCCTTAATGAAGAAACAGCATGACATCAGATACAAACATAAACACATAATTATAGGTCAGTGTAATAAAAGCTGTAAAGGCTAAAAATAGGCATATACAGCATTCAGTAGGGGTAAAAATAAGAGTGATTATTTCACTTATGGCACTGCAAGTATATCGACCTTTGGAAATGTATACAGAAATTACTGAGGTAATATGGATAAAGAGAGCTAAGTTAACAAATTCTTTCTCTTCCCAGAGAGAACAATGCTTTTGTGTGTTCCTGGCAGTTGCATTTGTCTTCTCTGTGATCATGCTCTTCACATGGATAGAAACCTCTAATGAGTACTTCGGCTTTGACTGGTGAGTTTCACTTTTTATACTTTATTATGTAAGGTCTCTTTGGTCTGATGACCACCTGGATTGTACCTTAAGTTGAATAGATCTAGTGGCACAGTAGGGAGGGTGGATGGATACCTTAAGTAAAAACTCTACATCACAAACCCTGTAGAAATGCGGTGTCATGTGATCAAACTTAGTATTTCCATTTATATACAACTACCAGCTTCCATCTTTGAGACTAGTGAGATATTGGAATTTGTGTAGCCAAGTCCCATTATCCATGTTATGTAGAAGAGCCCTGCTATGGGATTATATTCCCAAATAATCAGATGAAAACACAGAAGCTAACAGAAATTAATTATTTCCCTATTTTCTGATAGATACCAGGACTTCTAAATTCTCAAATTTTCAAGTAAATTGTTACAAAGCTTAATTCACATTTTTGAAAAATATAATGATTCAGTGAAGCTATTGGAATTATTCTAAATTTTGTTTTGTAGAGAAAGGATTTTAAAGTTCAAAAATTCAGTATATAACACATCTATCCAAATTTACTTATAAATGTTGGGATTGGCATAAAATGGCTGCCAATAAAATATGTCTTGGCTGTATTAAATATGGCATGATTGCATAACACTGCACAGACTAAACATTTTTTATTATTTCATTTTCTACCTCTCTTCACTTTTTAAAATTGGCTATCCAGATTAATGAGTCTTATTTTGGCAAACTTGTCCATGCACATAGCATATTTTGATCATTTTCACCCCCCCCCACATACACTGCCCTCCTTGCCTCACCCTCCCTAGTTCCACATTTTCGGGGGGGGGTTCATTGAATATATTTCTTTCATATCCATCCTGCCATTACCCCATCCTTATACTTCGTCCCCCTTATTCCCTTCCTCTTGTTTAATAACAGTCTCCTTTCTACTTTCTTGTAATTTTTTAAGAGTCCACATATTAGGGGAAATGTGTGATATTTGTCTTTCTGAGTCTGGCTTATTTTGCTCAACATATGGTGTAGGTCCATCCATTTTTCTTCAAATGACAGAATTTCATTCTTCCTTATGGCTGAATAATACTCCATTGTGTATATACACCACGTTTTCTTTATCCATTCATCTGTTGATGAGCACCTGCGCTTGTTTCATATCTTGGTTATTGTGAATTGTGCCACAAAAAACATGGTTATGCAGGTATCTCTATAGTATGCTGACTTTAATTGCTTTGGAGTGGTATATTGTTGGATAAAAGGGTAGCTCTATTTTTAGTTTTTGGGGAAACTTTCATACTGATTTCTATAGTGGCTATACTAATTAACATTCCTACCAGCAGTGCAGAAGGGGTCCTTTCCCCGCTGCGTCCTCACCATTATTTATTGTTTTTTGTTTTGATTTTTTGTATCTTGATTATAGGGATTCTGACTGGGCTGAAATGTAATCTCGCTGTAGTTTTGATTTGTATTTCCCTAATGGGAAGATGTTAAATATTTTTAGACGTTAAATATTTTTTTCATATACTCGTTGACCATTTGTACTTTTTCTTTTGAGATATGTCTATTCAATTCAATTTGCCTATTTATTGACTGGACTATTTGAGTTTTTGGTGTTAGGTCTTTAAAATTCATCATGTATTCTAGATATTAATCTTCTGTTATAAGAGTAGCTAGTAAGATTTTCTCCCACTGTGTAAGCAGTGTCTTCTATTTGCTAGCTGTTTTTCTTGCTGTGCAGAAACTTTTTAATATGATGTAGTCCCATTTGTTGATTCTTGCTACTATTTCTTGTACTAGTAGAGTCCTATTTATGAAATCATTGCCAGTGCCTATGGCTTCAAGTGTTTCCCATATGTTTTCTTTTATCAGTTTCAAAGTTTCAGGTCTTATGCATAGGTCTTTGACCCATTTTGAATTGATTTTTGTACAAGTTGAGAGATAGGGATGGAGTTTCAGGCTTCTACAAGTAGATACCCAATTTTCCCAGCATCATTTGTTAAAGAGGCTGTCTTTTCTTTGACATGTATTTCTCCAGAATCAGATGGCTGTGGTTGCATGGGTTTGTTTCAGTGTTCTCTATTCTGTTCCAATTGATCTATGTGTTTATTTTTGTGTACCTGTCATACTGGTTTTATTACTGTGGCTTTGTAGTATTACTACAAAGTATATTGTAGTATTTTATTACTGTGGCTTTGAAATTAGATATTGTGATGCCTCCAGTCTTGGTCTTTTTCCTTAGAATTGCTTTGGGTATTCTGGATCTTTTGTATTTTGAATTCAGGATTGTTTTTTCTAGTTTTGTGAAGAATGTCATTGGCATTATGATGGATGTTTCATTACCTGTATAGATCACTTTTGGTAATATAACCATGTTGAAATGTTAATTCTACTAACCTATGAATATGGAGATCTTTCAATCTTCTAGTATCTTTTCAATTTCTTTTGTTAGTGTTCTGAGTTTTCATTGTAGTGGTCTTCTACTTCCTTGGTTAGATGATCCCTAGGTATTTTTTTCTTTGGTATTTGGGGTTGAACCCAGGACCTTGTGCATGCTAGGCAAGTGCTTTACCACTGAGCTACCCTGAGGTTCTACCCTGAGCTAGGTATTTTTTCTGAAGTTATTGTGAGTAGAATTGTTTTCTAATTTTTTTCTTAGCTAGGCCATTATTGGCATATAATAAAGCTATTAATTTTTTTATGTTGATTTATCTCCTGTTACATTGCTGAATTCATAATCATCTCTAAAAGTCTTTTGGTAGAGCCTGAGGGTCTTCTAAGTACAGGATCATATCATGGAAAGAAAGATAATTTGATTTCTTCCTCTCCTATTTGTATCTCTTACATTATTTCCTCTTGCTTAGTTGTTCTGGCTAAAATTTGAAGAACTAGATTGAGTAAGAGTGGTGAGAGTGGAATCCTTGTCTTGTTCCTGATTTTCCCTTCTTTTTAGTTGGAAAGTTTACCCACATTTACTATCCTAGTCACTCTCATTATCTTTTTATATTCTTTGGAATTACAATATATTATTTGACTCATCAAACTCTAATATTAATTCATATATTAACTTTTTCCCTGGATAATACAATAACCTCACTTACCTCCTTTTGACTTATAAACCATTATCATCATATATCTTAATCTTATATACATTTTAAGCTATATATGACATTATTATTGTTGTTTTGCATAGCTAATATGCATTTAGATTGACCTAAGTGAATAGTGGCAAATGTATGGTACCCATGCCGCAGCCAGCTGTTTGTTATTGAAAGCTCTAAAAGGTTTACCATCACTGACCTAAGTATTTACCTTTTTTACTGCTTTTTATTTTATTGTGCATCTCTAATCTTTCATCTAAGATCATTTTTTTGCATAAAATATACCCCCTAGAATATCCTTTGATGAGAATCTGTCAGTGTCAGTTTCTTCATTTCTATTTTTATGATAGTGGCTTCATTTCATCTTTGTCCTTGAAGGGTATCTTAGATAGGCATAGAATTCTAATTTGGTAGTTTTTTTTTCTTTTAGCCCTTTGAATTTCTTATTCTAATATCTTGGTTTTTCTCTCTTGAGAAGTTTGCTGTCAGTCTATTTTTTGTTCTCTTGAAGGTAATCTGTCTTTTTATCTTCCTGCTTTAAAATTTTCTTTGCATTTAGTTTTTAACAATTTTATTATGGTACCCATGGATATGGTTTTCTTTATTTTTATTCTGCTTGAAGTTCTTAATTCTGTGGCTTTATGTATCTGTTTTGTTGTCAACTTACCTAAGCAGTATCTTCGTTTCTCTTCCCTGCATGGTTGCAATTTCAAGAGAAATTGGCTCAAAACTTGGGAAGCAGAAATGAGACAGCAGCTTTGCAGGTTGAAGGGTAATAAGCTGGCAGCACACATACATTATTTCTGATCTACAAATTTATCTTGTGCTTGTGAGAACCACCTGAATCTGCAACTCCCCCAACTTCCACAAGATCTCTTACCCTGTTGAGCCTTGAACCAAGTTTTTATTCAACTCTGTGGCAAAGAGTGCTAGATTCTATAGGTTTCCCATGCCATCAAGGCTAGAGGTGATGAAGGTCAGTTGCAGGGTTGAATTTGTCTTTGTGAGTTTCAGTTCATCTGTGGAGGTTTTAGTTTGTCCTTGGTCTTTCTACGTCATCTGCAACTTTTTTTCCTGAATCACAGCCTGACTAACATACAGTCACTTAAGGCCCAATACCAGATGTAGGGGAAACAACCTCTTGCACAGATTTTTCTGTAAGTTCCCATAATTTTATAAAAGCTAATCCTTGTGATAGATCTCTTATTCTGTATCACTCATAGTGGTTCTGCTCTGATCAAACCCTTAGAGATACAGTCATTGGGTTTTTTTGTTTTTGAAGTTTTAATGCATTTTGAAAAATTATTTTAAATTGTAGTACAATGCACATAACATAAAATTTACCATCTCAGTATTTAATTGTACAGTTGAGTGGTTAAGTACTTATACATTATTTGTAACCAACATCATCCAGTTATAGAAATCTTTTCATTTTACAAAATTGAAAATGAAATTCTGCATCCATTAAACAATGACCCACCCATCCCCTGAATGCCTAGCAACTATCACTTTTCCTCTCTCTCCCATTTTCCCTTCTCTTTCCTTTCTTCCCTCCTTTTATAGCTCTAATGGTAAACATCTCTTCATATTGGCCATTAGTATATTTTCTTTGGAGAAATGTCTATGCAAGTCCTTTGGTAATTTTTAATTGGGTTATTTGTTTTATTGTGAGATTTATAATAGTTGTTATCAGTAACAGTTCTAGAGGAATAGAACCTTAAGGATAGGTGCTTTAAGTTGATTCTGCATTATCTAGAATTAGTTCTCTGATTTGATTACGTTTAAGATTTAAAGGGCCAATTTCCAGTGGTAAAGGAGACAGTGGTTGTTTGTAGCATGCAGTGGTAAAATATTTACTTATCACTTATAGATACTGTGCTCAAATACATATGGAAGCTAAGGCTTTGGCTGACCAAGTAGTTGCCTCCATAGAACACTTTAGTGAAATAAGCTTACAATGACTACTTTCAGTAGTAGAGGGATTGCACTCAGAAGTCTTGCCGTCAAACCAAACTCTCTGAATTCACTAGGATGGATAGGGGTTCCTGGGTTATAGGGACCAAGATGAGCATGGTTACCACAATGTTCAGCAGAGCTGATACAAATAGTAAGAATGAGCTGACTGAAGACATTTGACATTGGCTCGCTGATTACAGTGTCCCTAAAACTGAAATAGATAGGCAGCTACTAAAATCTTACTTAGATTTTTATCTGTAGAAAATCTTGTTCTCATAAAGAAAAGTCTGAATTGAATCACCACAATAGAGTATGGCTCCTCTACAAATTCCAAAGCAGACTCAAAAGCTCTTCATGAAGGGAAAACTTTGGAGAAGGACCCAGCTACCTGGCCAAAAGCGTTTGACTTCATTTTTCCACCTAGTTCTCCCCAAGGAACCTCTGGCCATTTACAAGGGTGGGTATGCATTGAGGAAGAATTTGGGAAATGGCTGAACACTTGACTCTGAACTGATACACAATTCCGGGAGATCCCAAAACACCATTGTGACTCATCAGTCAGACCAGGAGCTTTTGGATATCAGGTGATCAGTGGAGCCTTGGGCTTGGGCTTATCTTCACAGTGAGCCTTGTTGGTGCCCAAAACCATCTTATCATTAATTCTCTATTTCTGAAATGCATAGTTATGTAAACATACATACTCAGTAGCAAGGAGAATCCCTATGGCAGCATTCCATCATAAAATAGAGGTGGTATATATAAAAGAGAGCTCCAGCAGGTTCTAAAACAACAAATAAGTTACATAGATAATTTTTCATTGCTGATTTAGCAAATTGCCACAAATTTAGCAGCCTTAAACGATACCCATGTATTATCTCACAGTTGTGTAGGTCAGAAGTGAGGCATACTCAGTTGGATACTCTGCTTAGGGTCACCAAAGGCTGAAATCAAAGCGCAAACTGGCCTGAGCTTCTCCTTGGAGGTTCTGAGTGACAGTCCACATCCAGATTCATTCAGGTTATCGTCAGAACCCAGTACTTTGTGTTTGTAAGACTGAAGTCCCTGTTTCTGTAGCTATTGTCAGCTGGGGATTATCTTCATTTTCTAGAGGCCAATGTTTGATTCTTAGTTTGAGGCCTATTCCACCTTCAAGCTAGAAGTTATGGGTAAAGTTCTTTCCATACTTCAGATTTCTCTCATTTCCCTTCTATCACTATTCTCTGCCTTCCTCTTCTGATTTTTAAGAGCTCATTTGATTATATTGGGCTTACCCACATAATCCAAAGTTATCTTTCTCTTTTAAAATTAGATGATAAGAAAAAATCTTTGACAAAATCCAGCATCCATTCATGATGAAAACCATGGGGAAAATAGGGTTAGAAGGACTTTGTCTCAGTCTGATAAAAGCCATTTGTGACAAACCAATGCCTAACATCATATTAAATTGGGGAAAACCTGAACACTTTTTCTCTAAAATCAGAAACAAGACAAGGACATCTACTATCACCACTCCTGTTCAATAAAGTACTCGAAACATTAATCAGAACAATCAGGCAGAAGAAATAAATAAAAGAGAAATATGTAGGAAAAGAAGAAGTTAAATTATCATTATTTTCAGATGACATGATCCTCTACATAGAAGATCCACAAAAATTCCACCTAAAGATTCCTAGAATTAATAACCAAATTCAGAAGTGTTATGGCTTGTATCTAGACGTCCCCTCAAAGCCTCATGCAGTCAGTCATAGGTGAGGCTTTTTCAGAGGTGGCTGACCTAGAATGTGTGATTCTGGGATTAAAGGTATGTGATTACAAAATTAGTCCACTGATTAATTTGGAACCTGCTCTAAGCTGGGTAAACTCGATAGAATGTAAGAGGGGCAGAAAGAAACTGCTATTGTTGCTTGCTAGTTGCTACTTCACTGCTGGCTGTCTTCTGCCTAACCTGCTTTGCCATGGACTATTTCTTCTATGCAGTGTCCTTCTGCCATGCCACCCTGCCTTGCAGATTATGGACAGAAACCTCTACAAACTGTAAGCCAAATAAACCTTTCGTCCTTTAACCTTAGGTGTCAGATATTTTGTCTCAGCAATGAGAAAAGTAACTAAGACAAGTAGTGTAGCAGGATACAAAATCACACAAAAATCAATAGCATTGGCCCAGGGATTTAGCTCAGTGGTTCTGGCGCCTGCCTTGCAAGTGCGAGGTCCCGAGTTCGATCCCCGGTGCCCCCCCCCAAAAAAGAAAAAAAGAAAAATCAATAGCATTCTTGTACACCAATAACAAACTCACTGAGAAAGAAATTAGGGCTCTCTTGGCGCTGCCCAGCCAGCGATGGAGCAGCAGGCGGAGAAGCCTCCAGGGGTGGCATCCTCGGACCCCGCAGCGAGGACCACATGGCGCTGCTGTTCAGGCTGAGAGCACAAACAAAACAACAACTCTTAGAATATAAGTCGATGATTGATGCAAATGAAGAAAAAACTCCAGAACAAAACCAAGAAAAACAAATTGAAGCTAAAGTTGAAGACCTGCAAAATGAAATTGAAGAGGTAAAAATTGCCTTGGAAATGAAAAGTCTTGCATTGAGCAGGATGCAACTTTCAGCTGCACTTAAAAACGACCTGGAAAAAATTAACACTGGGAACAGTGTGCTCATGGATACCATGAAAGAAGTATTAAAGCTAAATAAATCAGTAATGAAATTACAGCAGGAATCTTAGGAATTAGAAGAAAAACTACTTGATGTTAGAAAGAAGAGATTTCAATTAAAACAAGCTTCAGAAAGTAAGCTTTTAGAAATACAAACTGAGAAGAAGAAACAGAAAGAGGAGTTGGCCAGTATGGAAAATTCGGACAAGATAAAGACCATGAAACAAAGCCTACAGAGGGAGATACAGATTGCTGCAGTTATTCAACATGTGCTCCAGAACCTCATTTTGGGGAATAAAGTCAACTGGGCAGTGGATCCAGCCCTCAAAGAAACTGCTCTGGAGCTTGAAAAGGATCTCACCATGACCTACTAAGAATTCTGTTTTGGGCCAGGTGTGGTGGAGCATACCTGTGATCCTAGCACTTGGGAGGCTGAGGCAGGAGGATCACTGCAAGTTCAAGGCCATCAGAGAACTGTATTTTGCATTTTTGGGTTTTTGTCTTTGATATGTCATTTAAATAGCAAGTTTCAGGTGAAATGAATTTCCACTGTTTTTGGAACTATCCTAATGCTGTAATTTTTTTTTTAGCTTGAGTTAACACTATAGCATAGAATCACTTATTTTAAATAATAGTAAGGTGACTAAATACTCGAAAAGGGGGAAAATCTTAGTCATAGAAAAAAGACATCTGGTCCAACCTGTGATGAATATGGACTTTTTTTTGATATTCCTGGCAGTCCCGGCTTTTATTTGTAATACTTATGTGCATTTATGCATTTGTCAATCAAAATACAGAGAAGTATCCAAACTGTTAAAAATAAAAAAAAGAAAGAAATTAGGAAACAATACCATTTACAATAGCATGAAGAAAAATTAAATACTTAGGAATTAATCTAACCAAGGAAGTGAAAGACCTCTAAAACAAAAATTATAGCACTTAGAAAAAGGTGATTAAGGAGGATATCAGAAAATGAAAAGATATCTACCGTTCTTGGATAGACAACCAATATTGTCAAAATGGCTATACTTCCAAAACTGATACACAGATATAGTGGAATTCCAATCAAAATACCAATAGCTTTCTTCCCAAAAACAATCCTAGAAATTTATATGGAATCAGAAGAGACCCAGAATAGCAAAAGTAATCTTAGGCAACATGAGCAAAGCAAGTATCATCGAAGTCCCAGATTTAAACCCAAATGCACAAGAACTAACATCAAGAATTGACAAATGGGACCCTACCAAATTAATAGCTTCTGCACAACTAACAGAAACAACTGACAGAGTAAAGAGACAACATGCACAATGAGAAAAAAATTTTTCCAGTTATTCTTCAGAGGACTAATACTTAGAATATATAAAGAACTAAAAAACTTTAGACCTCCAAAAATAAAAAAATCAAATTAAAAACGGGCAACTGAAATGAATAGACCCCTCTCAGAAGAAGTACAAATGGCCAAAAATCACATGAAAAAATGTTCAACATCTCTGGCCATTAAAAATGCAAATTAAGGACTGGGGATATAGCTCAGTGATTCCAGCACCTGCCTTGTAAGCACAAGGTCCCAAGTTCGATCCCCGGTACCAAAAAGAAAAGAAAAGAAAATGCAAATTAAAACAACACTGAGATACCATCTTACTGCAGAAAGAATGGCCATCATCAAAAAATCAAATAATAAATATAGTGAGGTTGCAGGGGAAAAAGGGAACCCTCTACATTGATGGTGGGAGTATAAATTGATACAACTACTATGAAAATCAGTATGGAGATTCCTCAGAAAAGTAAAAATAGAAATTCGTCAAGAGATGGAGAGAGTGGGGAGATAGAAAAGGGGAAGAAGTTGAAAGGAGTGTTGTCTATATGTACCAACTCCCCACAAGGGATGTAATCATTATGTACTACTGCAAACTTGTACTAGTAAAAAGTAAAGATAAAAAAGAAGTAAATCTAGAGACACAGCTTGGTATTTGAGGTGAATTTTCTTTAGAAGCAGCAGCTAACATACAGGAAACATAAATGAATGAAACTGGATTAAAGTAGATAAAATTTCCAGCTTGGAGATATAGCTCTGTGTAGATCCCTGTGTACTATGCATGAGGCCCTGGATTAAATCCTCAGCAGTGTAAAAAGAAAAAAAGAGATTTGCTAATATCTCTAGTTATCTGTCAGAAATCCTCCTCTGAGTGGATATAAAGTAATTCAATGTCTCAAATTACTTACACAAATTTTTTTCCACTACTAGGGATTGAATGCAGGCCCCTTACACTGAGCTACATCCCCCACTCTTTTTTCTTTTTTTAATTTTGAGTCAAGGTCTCACTAAGTCACTCAGTTGCCCAGACTAGGCTTGAATTTATGATAAGCTTGCATCAGCTTCCCAGAGTGCGGGGATTATAGGCATGTGCCACCATGCCAAGCTACTTGCACAGTTTTTAAATATACAATGTCTAACAGTTAGGCGAAGATAAGCCATATTAGTGCTAGAAGCAATGGATAACAAAAAGGATATTAGCAACTCTAGGTAACTGATAGCAAATGTAAACAACTGAGGTATCAGGCACAAACTTCTAAATAATTGTTCTTAACATGTTCAGATGGACAAAAATTAAGAATTTCTATTAAAAAGGGTATCAAAGCCAGAAACAATGGTACATTCCTGTAGTCCCAGATGCTTGGTAGGCTGAGGCAGAAGAGTCGTGAGTTCAAGGACAGCCTGGACAACATAGCAAGTCCTATCTCAATCATATACTGGAATAAAATTCTGAGAAATGTAGTTTCAGTTCAGCTAAACTTGACCCAGTTAGTACACCACCTCAGTCCTCCAATTGTCACCTTGGTATCTATGCACACTTTCATTAACCATCCTTCCTTCTATCTAACATGATGAAATTATCACTCATACAACTGAAAACACACCAACTCATTCCCCAAGAAAGGACATAAAGTTCCTTTATCATGACTGAGTGATGTTCATTCTTCTAGCTTAAGATTGATAGTTATGTTCACATAACACATTTTCTTCACCGGTAGAAGAATGGGAGGTGTGTGTGTACAAGCATGAGCAGAATTCTGGCCCCTGTGACTTTGTCCTCATGTCACACTAGTGGTGATGTTGTATTAGATGGCAAGAGAGACTTTGCAGATGTATTTAAGGTTACTAGTCAGCGATTTTATTTTATTTTTAGTTTTAATTTTTATTAGTACATGTTTGGAGTACATAATGATTATGATCCTTGTGAGGAGTTGGCACATATACATAACACATCTTAATTCTTTTTCTCATCCCCCTTCCTTTCTCTACCTACCCGCTCTATCTGTTGATCCTTTTCCCTTTTGGAAAAGAATTATCTCCCTATTTCCCATTATCAATCTTTTATTTTACTCTTTATTTTATCTTGAGTTCCTCATTTGAGAGAAACCATGCACTACTTAAGCTCGTGTGTTGATTCATTTCACTTAACATTATGGTTTCAAGGTGAGCTGGAAAAAACGATTTCTGAGCAAAACGTTTTTTCCTGCTGCTAGCTGACCTAACTGACAAAGAGCCACTCCCAGCACATACCCCTCCCACACCTAAAACATGTCCTCCTTCATTGTCTTTTGTTCTCAGTAAATGTCTGTACCCTCAAGATGATGTAATCCCTACTTTCCCGCAGTAAATGAGATGAACTTCTGTGTACTTTTCTATCCAATCATGTAAACTAAGTGTAGCTTCCTCAACCAATGAACTGATGTTAAGTGCCTTGCTTCTGTATCCATGCCCCTCTTCCCTTGATCCCTATAAACCCTGCTCATTGCCAGCTCTGGGCTGATTGCTTTGTAGAGAAATCCCTGATCAGTCCTCTGATGTAATAAAGCTGTACACTTGCCTCCAGCCTCTGGGTGCATTCTCAATTCTTCTTGGCCTGATCTTTTTTTTAGTTTTGTACCAAGAGCATCTTTAATAACAAAACCTTACTGTTTTACCTACACAAATCTTAAACTGGACTCTTCTCTAAAAACTATAGCACTCTGAAAAGAGATTGAAGATGATATCAGAAAATGGAAAGATATCCCCCTACTCCTGGGTAGGAAGGATCAACGTAGTGAAAATGGCCATACTTCCAAAACTGCTATATAGATTCAATGCAATCTCAATTGAAATCCCAGCAGCATACTTTACAGACCTTGAGAAAAACAATCCAAAAATTCATTTGGAATCAGAAGAGACCTAGAATAGCAAAAGCAATTCTAGGCAATAAAGACAAGGTAAGGGGTATCACAATCCCCACCTTGAAACTACTACAAAGGTACTCTGATAAAAACAGCATGGTACTGGCAAAGAAACATACTTGAGGATCAGAGGAACAGATTAGAAGATGCAGAAACAACTCCAGGCACA